TATTTATTAATCTACACTTAATATATACTTTTCTAAAAGTATTTAATTGTACTTATATTTAATCATATTTTAATCATAGTATTTTCAACTCATACACTACATTGGATCAAGAATACATAACTTAAAGTATTAATGCAAGATGGAATACCAATGTAAGTAATTTTTATCTTGTTCTTCATATGACATTGAATTTAAAAATCTCACTTTTAACTACTAATACAGATGGTCTTGATTTTAGTGTAACATACAACCTTATAGTCATCAAGGTGACTACTATGTGATATATTGGAAGTCTCATTTACATTTTTTTATCAAAATAAATCATCATTTTTAAAGACGATTGAATATATTAAAAATAGGTGGACAATAAATTTTTCAAAAACTAGAAATAAACAAGCATAAAACTTCTAGAATTTTTTATTTATTTGAAAGTGTAGACAATTGTCTCTGTTTTAATTTAAGAAGCGCTACACTTTAAGTTATATCATTGTTTGCTTTAGATTGATTCTTGTATTATATATGATTCTGATTAATATAAAATAGAAATACCACACTGAATACATTTCTGACAATTTAATATTAATTATGCACCGAACGATTTTAACATTAACTTATAACCTACTATTGAATAGGTAACTTTTAACGACATAATTAATGTTAAAATCAGTTAGGTACGTATGTGAATTATCACATTAACTTATGTACGTACGCAGATTTTTTTTAAAACTGATATTAGTAAAAGAAAGAAAGGAAGAAGGAGAAGCTGAGTTCGGAGAGGAAAGAGATTAAGTTACAAGCAGTGTGTCGCAGTCCCACACCGTCCCCCACCCCACGTAACCAACACAACACAACAACAATGCAAAGCTATGCCTTTTCTCTCTCATTTTCCCATTCTCTCCTTCTCTCTTTTACACCCACTATCCCCATTCATTCTCATTCTGCATCCTTCACATGGCCACGGACCTTCTCCAAATCCATCCTTCTGACATCACTTTTCGCTGTAAGTTTTATTTTCACTCTCCGCCGCTCCTCCTCTCATTTCGCTTCCTCCTTCACTCACTCTCTCTCTTTTTTCTCTCAGTTGAATTGAAGAAGCAGAGTTCCTGCGTGGTTCGTCTCGCCAACCACGCTTCCCACTATGTTGCCTTCAAGGTGCTACTCAGTACTTAATCCACTTCCAACTTTTCGTCTCAATTCAACGATTCGCTTATCATGATTTGCAATTCAGGTCAAAACGACGTCGCCCAAGAAATACTGCGTCAGGCCAACAGTCGGCATTGTTCAACCCCACGGAACTTGTGATTTCACCGGTATCCACTCGCTTCTCTTACTTTTCAATTCCCGTAACCTGTTACATTTAATGATTAACGCTGTTCTTCTCTTCCTCTTTTTTTTTGTTTGGTTTGGAGGTAGTTACTATGCAGGCTCAGCGCACAGTCCCACCGGATTTCAACTGCAAAGACAAGTTCCTTGTTCAAAGCGCGGTTGTCCCCGCTGGAACAACCGAGGACGACATCTCCTCTGACCTGGTCAGTCATGTTTTTTACTTTTATGTTATTCAGCTAACCGTGTTTGTCATGTGGTTTAGTTACATTAATTAATCTCTTCCCTCTTTGCTTTCACAGTTTGTGAAAGACAGTGGAAGGCTCGTTGAGGAGAAGAAACTAAGGGTTGTCCTCATTACCCCATCTTCTTCCCCTGAAAATGGAGATTTGAGCCAAGATCCACTCATCCCAATGCCTTCTCCTCTTACTGTGAGTTTCTCCCACTTATATATCTCCCCTGAAAACTAAGGGTCTTGGATCACTACGTGTTGTATATTCCAGTCTTATTTTTATGTATTATGTGACTGAGTTTTTCAATTTTTAAAAAGAGTTTACAGAATTTGATTATTTGTGGCTTGATGAAGATTGCTTTGAACCAAGATAATTCTAAACCGTGTAATAATTTACATGAAATTATTATATGTTTCTGGACCACCATGTGTCTACAGTCTTGACTAATATGACATGTGCTTCGATTTTTTAATTTACAGGAGTTAATTATTCAATTACATGTCAAGAAGAGATTGTCTGCGAGTAGTAATTTATCGTGAAAAAGAACATTGCTCTAAAATTGTTTCTTCTTTTGTCAGATTGAAAAAAGTTTGGAAGTCGCCCAGGGTTTGAAGGAGGATGGAACGGATAGGGGTACTGTTGTTCCAAGAGTAGTTGAGAAGGAGGGGGATACGAAACAAGTTAATGGTATTGAGAAATTGAGTTTTCCTAAGGATTTCAAGGAATTGGAGTCAAGGTTGAGTATAATGGATGCAAAGTTAAGAGAGGTTAGTCATAAGTACTTTTTGACTTGGATCAGCAGTTATCTCAGTTACTTTGATTTTAAGTTTCGTATTCCGTTGGTTGGTTAGTTATGGTTTAACCCGAATTTTCATCTCACGATATCGCTGCCAGTGACAAATATTTGATTTTTGAACTTGAATTGGGCTACGAGCTTCAAGGGGAATTGATGGACAATTTGGACTGGGGGAATCATGTTCAAGCTATGTACACCATGTAATATAACTTGGGATTTTACTTAGTTTAAAAGAAACATGAGTGACATAAGATAAAATAACATGCTTTAGATAGAAATATGATAGACCGCAAAAACTTAGACGCCTGTTCATTGATGGTGAGGATTTGACAACTTGCAGTAATTACTCATTGTTACAAAAGATAGAGCTAGAGAATGAGATAATATAAAAGTACCAACCGACTCCGAGACATGTTCTAGCTTGGTGAGTTTCCAAATTTCAACTCATCCAAACTTCTTTCTTTATAAAAAAAGAGAGCATGTTTTATCATTACGTTTGAAAATGTCCTTTTTCTCCTCTAGTGTACTCATGATTGCGTATTGCCGAGCTCGTAAAAATGAAAAATGTTTATGCTGTGCCATATTGCCTTACACACTGATGTGCATAAGGTTACAAATTCCTTGACCTTTTGAATAATTTTCAACCTTTAAACATGGAAGCACACAACAAAAAGTTATTATCTTTGCAGGCCGAAGGAACCATGGCGATGTTGAATGAAGAGAAGCGCAGGAACACCCGAGAAAAAAATTTGCTCAAGCAAGAGTTGGTAGGTACCTTCTTATTTTATTTTACGTTCCAATAAACTATAAAACAATTCGTGAATTCCATTTTTCCTGTTCAGTAGTCCCTTTTATACGTTCGATGGACACAGTTTACACAATAGGTTAGCAGATTTTTTCAATCTTCTCACACCATTATACTTGCGATGTAAGATGCAAACGTAAAAGATGAGTGACTTTTGTTATAAGTACAACATCAACACAAGATGCGGCAACTCCAAACCTCTTATGAATCATCTCTACAACTCTTTTTAAAACACAAATTCTGTGACTGCAACATAACTAAAGGGACCAGCAATTATCACTCTCTTCCAATGGACAATAGATTTTAATTTTCTTACCTTCTTTAACAGTTTATTTATGGTATATATAGTTATCTAAGATGGTTTCTCTAGAATGCTTCATCCCTCTCTGTTGCTTGGAAGAAGTGCACCATGTTTGAAATTATTGTTAATGTTGAGTTGCTGAATGACCATTTTTTATATTTGACACCCCCATTTTCTCTTTTTGTTAGGAGATGATGAAGAAGAAAATGAAAATTAAAAGAGCTCAGGAGGGCTTCCCGTTTTTGTTTGTTTGTGTGGTTTCGCTTGTCAGTATGGCAGTCGGATATTATATTCATCCATAAGGAGCGACATTGTGTATAATGATTGAGGTTCCAAAATAATGGTGTACTCCTTAATGCTTTGGTAGATAACTATTGTTAATTGTAATGCTTGAACTCAACCAATGTCAATATGTGATACGTGGAAACCTTTCTGAAATGCTAGTGAAATGAACTGCACTTCATAAGAGAAGCATTATCTACGGACTCTGATATTTGGAACCAAAATCAGAGAGTAGAGTTAGGTAATTCTCCCAATATTATTGTTCATAATGTTCTGGTTACGTTCTTGAACAGTTTGGTTATCAACGAAAGTAACAGAGGTAAGAGAGAAAGATAATAAAATGTTGTTTGGTTTTTAAGGAGATGAAAAAACCTTCTAATATGTTACTACACTTTAATAATAGTAGGAATAATAATAGACGAAGAAATGAAAAATAAAAGTATATTTGCTCAATTATATTAGATCGAAATTCAAAGGACAAAAATTAATAATGGTGTACATAATGACAAAAATGATAAAAAAAAATTATAATAAACACTATATATAAAAAATAGTTTATATCCTTAAAATAGCTTCTTTAGCGTTGGTAAACAAAATTTAAGTTGAAAGAAACAATAGTATTTTTATTATAACAACAACAGTTCTTCATATAAACCATAAATAAACAATCTTTAATTCAAATAAACCGGAAAACAGTCATTCTGATAGTATAATTACGTTGACAGCTTTCAAATTAAGGTCGAGTAGAAAAAAATATGGATTTCAAAATATTAAATATTTTTAATTTTTACTTTTTCAAGTTAAATTTAAAGTTATCCACCTTTAAATTATTCTTACAAAATTCAAAATTCTTTTTTTTACTTGACTAACATATTTTTGTTATAAAATATTTTAAATTTCCATAAAATTGAATTATCCTCCTTTGAATTAATTAAATTGATTTTCGATGTTAAATGAATACGTCCTCTTTTGCCTAGATAACAATTATTTTTTTGATAAAATATATGTTTTTATTACCGTTGTGTTAAACTTGTGATTTGTAGGATGACATAATCAATTATAATCAATGTTATGTTATTTATAAGCGATGCTACAGACAGTTTTATGAAAGTATTAAATTTTTTATAAGCGATATTAAAGAAATTATTAAATACTTATGGAACGGTTTAGCAAAGCATTGTTTTGATTTAAATGGAGGGAAGGTAAAGACAGGAGAAATGAGAGTAGGAGGATTAATTATAATTTATTATTAATAAAAAAGAAAAGTGACTGTACAGTGGAGTTACAGTGTGATGCAGAAGAAGCGTTACGCAAAACGCTTTCACTCACCCTCGACTCGCTTCTTCAAAACTCTTCCTATTTTTGCCTTCTCCCTCTTCTCCTTCTCCGCAGAGAAGAGAAGAGGAGAAGAACCTTCCAAATCCCCAAAACTATAAAACAAATATAAATAAGGTAAATCCTATTCTTCTCCTTCTCCGTCTTCTAGGGTTTCTCTTCCGCCATTGCCAATCTCATCATCACCTCCCACTCTCTTTCCTCTGCAGGCATTGCTCTCTCTTCCTCTCCATTCCTCAATTCTATTACGATTCCCTAATTTCTTCTTCTCTTTTTTAGGGTTCCCATCGCTCTCTAACCGATTCCGCCATTTTTCGCTTCCAGGTACGCCCATTCTTCTTTTGCGATCTATTATTCATACGTTTCGCCAATGCCACTTCTTCTTTTCTCTGCCTTTTCTTTCTTCGTTGCTATCTCTCTCGCTTTTCCTATCCGTCATTCGCTTCGATGTTAACCGCTATTCCTTTTCTCTGTCGCGTCAATGTTGTCTGTTGTTCTTGGATTGACGATGATCCATTGTTCAACGGTTATGCAGGTGCATTGTCTTCTCCTCTCAATGGTATGTTCCCCGGGAGGTGGGAGAATGGAAGTCATGGCAAGGCTTCTTGCTTCTGGGGGTTTCTCTCAGACAGTAGCAGGTATTTGGAGACCCTACCTTTCAGTGGCTATTAGCTGCATGTTATGCCTGACACTGTTTTCTGGATTCAGGTCATCATATTGTATATTTAATACAAATAATATAATATAATATAATTCCGCGCAACGAATATTTTTAATTTTTGGAATAAACTAGTACAAGAAGTGACTGCATTTATTTTTTTGAATGAATAAAAAGATAGAGAAGTCAAAAGAAGAAGAAAAAAAAAAATAATGGTTAATATCTTGCAGAAGTTCCATAGTTAGGAGATTAATTAGTGGGGGAAAAGTCAGATGAGGGATGTCATAGTGGCTTCTGGAAGTTATGATGCAGCTAATGGGTAAATAGGAAAAGAAAACGAGTTTATGGGTGAAAATGTCTAAAACAATGCATTCCTGTAATTATTATAGATTATGGATTAGATAATATATGCATCGGCAATGTAAATAATTTCTTATATTGCTATATCTGATGACAAATCACCGAGCCATTTTTTATTTTTATTATAAATATCTGAAAAGTTGTACTTACCTTGACTTCTGATCGATTGACGGTGTAGTTTACTAAATTCTTTAATTAATGGATTTTTCTTTCATTTTCAATGTCTGATTGAACCTCGTTTGTTTATGCATGGTTTGGAAGATGACTTTGCCCATCAGAAGTCGGCTGCTGAGTATATCTGTACAGAACTACGTGAGGCAGACGAAGCGAATTTGCTTCAGGAAGAAGGTTGTTTCAAGTGTTTTTTTTTTGTTTTGTGAATCAACCTTTTTGTAGTACAATCTGTGGATATTCCTTGGTAGATAGTAATGTATCGTCTTCATTATTTATTTAGTCCAATGTGATTTATTTGGTAGAAGAATGAATGGTAATGACTGCCATTCTGAATATCAATCGGTCTCTGTTTGGAAAAAAGCTTCTTAAAAAACTACTTACAGAAGAAGAAAATAAGACGGTAAATGGATTTAACCTCTCTCGTGAGTTATATATTAGTTTATGCTTATGAAGTTGGCTTTCAGAGTAGCTAAATAAAAGAACTTCGACCAATTAGATTATGTAATTTTAACTTACGAAATAACTTTGTATTATCTTTTTTTTTCCTTTTAACTTTTCTTTAAGAAACTTATCCTACCATAGTCTAAATGTAAATATTTTATTTTAGGGGCAACGGGGACAAGGGGCTTTGTCGAAGTGGAACTACGTATAATGGTCAAATGAACATGTTTAGTTTTGAGGATTTTTTTTTCCGGGCTTAGCTTTCGATTATCATCTTATTTCGATTTTGAGTATAATTCCTAATTTGTTCTTATTTTCCAGTTTTTTGGTCTTTGTACGATTGCCATTTCGTATTGGAGATTTTTAAAATGCTTCTTCACATGTTTTATATCTCAGATATGCATGTCTATGGTGTTAGCCCCATGACTGATGCCTTGCAGCTGGTAAGGTTTGCCTCATGTTTCTACTTTTTCTTGTTCGCTAGTGGACTAGTATTTGTGTTCTTCTTCCCAAGTGTCTGGCCTGAGATTTTATGTGGTTTCTTTATTGGTATAACCTGTTCTTATATGTTTTCATGCGGATATTATATGGCATGATATTTATAATCTGTTATTGCTTCCTATAGTTTAGTATACCTTAAATTCAGTAATTATTGCCTCTTTTTATTACTTTTCTACTGCCATATTCACAAGGATGGCACAGAGTAGCCCATCTGTCTCAGTTTGGAAACAGTTTATGCATTTTATACCAACTTTGTAGATTATATAATTGATTTAGATGTTATAAACTTGTAAATATCTTCATCTGCAGACATTAGCTTTCAGGAAGTATAATGTAAAGAAATTCATCTAACTGATTGCTTGATATCCTTTTTGAGGTATGCTGCAACAATTGCAAGAAGCCAATTAAGGACAGTCAATTTGCTGCTCATACAGGTTTTTTTTTCGGCTTCTTTTAGTATTTATAATTAAAACTTTCTTGTCTTTTTGTTGTATGTGAGGCTTTTCAAATTGTTCAGTTACACATTGAACTGCAAATGTCGATGTGTGGCTCGTTTACTACCAGCTTTCATTTCTTGACCCCCATATTTTAAAAGGTTACTGATACTGAACCTTGCTTCGCCACCCTCTCCCTGTGTTTTCAGAACTTTGTCGGTCATTAAAGCTCACAGAACAAACTACGTTTGAGCTTGATGGCAGCACCGGGAGTCGGAAACCTCCTAGGAAGGAAAAGAAAAAGTTAGCAGCTTCTTGTGCTAGTATCCTTAAAATATGAATTAATTAATAAGTTGCTAATACATTTTTAGTTTCTATACTATCATAGCTTAAGTTTAGTCTTCGGTAGTTTAATCTTCTGCTGATTTTTTTGTATAAGGTATATGACAATCATGTTTTCATAAAGGCTTATATATTTTGTAGTCTCTGAAATTAACGAAATTTTGTTTCCTGTACTTTTTTTTTCCATTTTTTGTTTGTTGGTTTTGGTGACATATAGTGACATTACATTACAACACTAGTAGTATAGTATGCATTTCTTGGAACCTTGGACCATGAACAAAGAAAAAATTGCACAGGGGCCAAAAAACAACTTTTTAAATTTTTAGGTCGACTAAAAACATACTTTAAGCCTTTATGAAAATAGTAACTTTGATTTCTTTAGTAGACTTCTTCTTTTAAAGGAGTCTTTTAGTCTTTCTTAATACATTCTAATGTTAGGCTTTTGTAACATTACTTTTTGTGCCTCATAACCCCTCATAGACCAAGCTTCGGCAGTTGGGGAGCAGAGAAGGTCTGGGTCTATGGATAATATTGACTCGGATTTGTCACAATCCCACCGGATTAGTCAAATCAGAGTGATTCCCTTTTCAAACAAGGTTAAAGGTGAAAGCCCGATTTTTTTTGTATAAGTTTTCTTCTTCATTATCAGTGGAATTCTTATACGGAAGTTTATGTATTTTCTTATAAATTCCATTTTACCATGATTCCTGCTTGTTTTAATTTTTTTCTAGATTTAATCTATTTTAAAATTATTTTTTCAAAACTTAAGGCATATTGGTGTTATTAGTTTGCTATTTCTATCACTTGTGTTGTTGACTTTCACTTTCACTGAAACCTTCAACAACTAAATATCGTTGGCTGTGGCTTTACGAGTATTTTTATGGAACTAAAATTTATCCACCCCTCTATTCTACTCATGATCATAGGAGAATATGATCTTTGCTTTTCATTGGCGTACAGGTTTAGTTCAAAACCTTTCATTATATTGCTAAACATGGATTGATTTGAAATATTATACAATGTTAATGATAGTTTGGACTGTAATTTGTCTTTGTTAAAACATATTTGATCTTTTTTGCTTGTTTTACTGTTATTGTTTGTTGATAGAGATATCTATTTTCCCATGCCCTAAGCTACTGGTTTGCTAATCAATTTGAAAACTTGATTCATTTTAGTTCCAATTTCCTTAGGACACTCTACTTGTGTCGATGGAGCATCTATGATGGATGGTACTGGAATTAATCCTGGAAATAGGGACCACCCAGCTTCTATAATGCATCCTCCAACAAAACGTCATAAATTGTATGCTTTCTTTGTTCATCTGATGTGCGCACACATGTTGTAGTATGATTATTTTGATATCATTGTCGTTAACGTTGTGGTGTAGATTAGATATTGATATTTGGAGTGTTATTATGATTCTGTGTGCCTCTGCTACCAGAAAATAATCATAAATTCATGATTACCAGAATAAATTTGAATGCATCATTTATTGCATAATACCTCCATTGCCCCCTCCTCCAATAAAGTGCTACTATCAAATGGAAAACTAGATTAAAACTGCAGATATAACAAGTTGTTAATCGATTATCAAATAGGCTGGTGTTCGGTGGGAATGACTGCCATAACCAGTATACCTTCACTGTATTGAAAAATAAAAATTATAATTATAATTTTTGAGTTTAATCACATTTGTTTAAAACAAATGTTAGAAAATTTAATATTTACCCATTTATTGGAGTTTTTAATCATCCCTCTTCAATTTATTTCCAATCTGTTATGTTTATTGCAGGCGAGCAAACACTAGCCTACCTGTATTAGAAAGCCCTGTAACAGATTCTGTAGAGACCAAAACTCTGAGTTTCACTGATGGAATAAGTTGTAAGTGTGCAATTTTCGAGTTATTATCCATAATTATACAACTAGATAATTATCGAGTTAACTAAATCTAGCTCTGCATTCATGAATTAAAAATTGTGCACAAGCTATTACTTATGTCCATGCATGCTCAAATATGTGTAGTTATTTTCATATTTCTCAAATTCTGTTTATGTGGACGCTAAACGATGTTTAACTTTTGAGAAACTACTTGTAATTTTCACATAATATTCTTATGCCACCAAAAGTCCTCTTATGGTGTCTGTCCAGAGCAAATGACTTTTGGTCTTGCAGAGTTTTTTTCTTTTATCCTTTTCTACCTAAAAAGGTATTAATGGAATTTGTCCTTTATTATTTGTGATTTTTTCCTTTTGAACTTTTGTATGTAGATATGCACAGTGAACCCATGGTTTTTGTAATGTTTAGTCTGACATCAACGACAACTGTGCTATTGCTTTTACTGTATTATGCTGTTCGCTCATTGGCGATAGGGGGGACCTTGGTCATGGAATGAATCACCTAATTAATTTTCTGGATTCCATTTAGGCAAGGACTTGGTTGAAATAACTACTTCAGAACATGGAGATCCTAATCGAAAAATCCTTGGGCAGGTCCTTGTGCAACCTCCAAACACTACGAAGAATGGTATTAAAAATATATAATTTAAGTTTTGAAAGATATTAACTTTCGGCAGCTGGTAAAATGGAAGACCTTTCCTCCAATGTTTTTTCCTTTAATTTTTAATTTTAGTGTTTCTAATACAAGTTGGTGTTTGTAAAACACGTTTTTTTGTTGAATTAGAATTTCCTGCGCCCCTTGCTACGAAGATATTTTATTCACAAAGGACCAATCGACTGCGTGCCAGACTTCGCCATCTTTACTTCCAGAACTTAAACGAGCAATTGCGTACTGATTTGTGTCCAAAGACATCACATGCGGAGATGGTCACATTCCAAGATTCATCTCTTAGATGCCCTTCATCTTCTCAAATGGACAATGTGCACGAGGTGTGACAATCTTTACTCTTGTTTAATGCTGATCATTTAAAATTATAGGTCGAATCATGTGACCAAAGTTATACAGGTTGAATGAAATCCAATCTTTAGATGTACACATCAGACTGACAATTTATTATGTTGCAAGTTCTTTACTCAGGTGATTTTTTTATTTTTTATTTTTTATTGTTACAAACATAAAATAATGGGGAATTAGGCTTTATAATCTGCTGGCAGGCTATGAGTTTCTGTCGAAGGATAAAGGTGGAAATACATTCCATCACTACCCCCAAATCCAACTTCCCACCAAGAAAAGCTTATTTCCATGCTGATGAAGCCATCTTTGAGTATTTCTTTAACTTTTTTTTTGAAAAATAGGGTCGATCACCTCAAAAATCTGATCATATTCTTGCCAAAAGCTCAGAAGTTTGCATACTTAAAGCAGGAGGCCTGCCAAGCAGTGGTTTGTCAAATCAGTTTCTTCTCGATAATGTTTCAAGGTCTACAGCCACTCATGTTGGTTTGACTAGAAGCAACTTTCTTCCAACATCCTATTCATTTTCTAGCAACACAGGTAAATCTATTATGCTATTGAGTTGTCTTTTTATTTTTATAGTGTAAGCTAAATTTAGAAAACTAAGTAATCGTCAAAAGCCTATCACTAACTGAAGGACCGATTGAGGTGAAAGCTGACACAAAGTTGACAATTTTTGGAGTGATACTTGCATAATAAGCTGTAACATGTATAGCTTGAAGGAAAATGATTGGTATAAGTTGTTAATGAGTGTTTTTTGTTCTGTTTTTGTAGGAAATTCATTGGGAACAATGCAGCAACCAAATGGGAGTGTTCCTGTTATTTAGAAACCATGGTGGAATTTTTTTGGGTTGGTAAAGGTACAGGTAACCAATACTTGAGTGTAGGATTTAGCTCCTTTTTTGAAGCTGATAAAGTAAATTACTCAAATTGTGTATCCTGTCATCTGCTTTGTACATGTAAACTTCTGTATAAATGGATGGAAATGAAGAAATTATTAGTTCTATATCCCCAGTGTTCTCAACTCGATACTTGGTCTTCTGTTATTTATGCTTGCTAGTCATTGCATAGCAGCTTGCATCGTTCTTGATATTACACAGGTTTCTCAATACAAGAATATATTTATGGACAGATATTCAGATTTAGGATGCTATCAGCTATGAAACAGGTTCATGTCTGTCAGAAAAAGTGAGTTTTGGGCTGTTTAACAATATGATCATAATTAGACTAAAACTTCTGTTTCTCCAGTAGGAAATCTTTAATTTATTTAAGAACTGCTAAATTTGTTATTATCACAAATGTTGTATTTTGTTTTAACAATCAGTCAGGGTTCTGTATTTCTGTTTGAACTGGAGCGTCTATTTCATTTTTTGTATTCTTATTCCTAAAATTTAACTCTGTCAAATCATTGTGTTTCCTGTTGGATTTATTTTGAACCAGAAAAGAACTCCCCCAATGCAATTTAGTACTTATAGGAATCTGGAAATTTATATATATATATATATATATATAATGTATATTTGAATTTTTAATTTTGAAGTAATTTTGGAGGAAAAAGTTTGTTTTAAATGGGGGGCAGATATTCTTTTGGTGTGAGTACAGTAAATTTATTAGCACGTTGTCCTTTTGTGCAATTCCATGCTTAAAATGATCATGGAACCACATTCATTATTGATATGAATATTCACCGCATTTTGCCTACCTGTGGAAGGTTCGTGGGAGTGGAGAATCGGGTGCTCAACTTAAAATGAAATTGAGTATTTCGTTCAAACTAGTTGTTGTGCCTCTTGTGAGGCAATTTGATAAATTTTAAATAGGAAATGTAATAACAGTTGATGTTCTGTACATGCGAAATGACACCAGATATTGACTGCTCGCGCTGTCACTTTTGGTAGGAATTGTCACACCCCATTCACGTCTTCTAATATCTAGAAGCAGATTCTTCCTTTATGCCACCTGGAAAAAAAATCAGCTGGTATACCACATGGAATTTTATTAGAATAGATGATGTCATACAACGTGCTGGTCCAGACTGACTGCAACTAGGTGAATGCTTTGTTCCAAAAATCAAAGATACTTGATTTTATTTTGACTTGTGTGAAATGAAAAAGAATTATTTATTTCAGATTATACTAAATAGATTTATTTTAAAAATGTATCTTTGATATAATAATTAATTTAAGTACCTTATAAATTTTGGTTTTTTAATTTAATATTTATCAAAAAAATTTAACGACTGTTTGAAATATATTTTTGTTATTAATGAAATGATGTGAAAACTGTATTTCTATGTTTTTTATTTGTAGATAACATGTCTTTTTAATATTTTTAACTTTTTTTGTCAATTTGCTTTTTGACTGACGGGATAATTTTTACGGTAAGGAAGAATAAATAATATTGTAGATGAAATAAATAAGTTGAAAATGGGAAGAGAGAATTATTATTTTAAAATACTTTTGATTTAAGTTGTTTTCATTTGATCTATTTTTCGTCTGTGTAATAATTGTTTGAGAAAGTGGTAAAACAGTGATAAGCTGAAAACAAATAAGATACCGTGGGAAAGAAGATCAAATCGTTATATTTATATATTCCTAAAATAAAGTGTGGTACGATGAGGTGGTGCGCCACTTGCTTCTCTTCCGACTGGTTTTGCGAACTCTATTTTGTTTATAATACATTTTCTCTTTCCTCTTTATATAAACTAAATTTTAAGGTTTATACATTTAAATACTTTGAATTATATTTTTATTCAACTTTTCTATTCAATATTTAATTATTAACGATCTTGTTAAAGTAATAAAAATTATTTATTATTTCATATTAATTGTTATATATTTTTATATTATTTTTAAAATTTTATGTTTTTTTAAGACAAGGAAGTAATAAAATAAGTAGGCAAGGAGTAAAATACAAATTATGTTATTTAATTAACAAAAAATAATATAAAACTTTAGAATATTTAATGGATTAATATTTTTAATAGAAATTTAGTTTAAAATACCAAAATTTATGAGGTAGAAACTTAACAACCTATAATCTATTCTATAATGGAAGTGATGAAATAAATGTTCAATATTCAATATTCAATTTATCATGAGTGATTAAGATTGAAATATATATTTGAGTTTCTCAATTTTTCTATGAAATGGATTTTTTTATTGAGTACATAGTTAATTTTGTTTACATAAAATGGTTTTCTTAAAGGAAAACAAATAGCTAGATTTTTTGTCACACTACGAATGATATATTTTCACTATTTTTGTGAGCTAATGGTTTTGTATGAGTACGTGTATGCGTTGTTGAAGCATTTAAATTAAGTCTCTGCCTTCAAAGCATTATCTTGTCTTTGGTCTTTTTTTTTTCTCCAAACACCATTATTTTTGTGTGAAAAGTTTGAGTTGATATCATTTCAATGGATTTGGGAGAGTTGAGTAATGTTGTGTAGTGCTAGAATGACTCACTTATAATATCTTTTTGTTTGCCAAAATAGTTGTAAACTTTTGTCTCCTCCTTCCTTCCTTCTTTTGTCATTTTCATAGTTTTCATTTGTCCTGCTTTTGGCTTATCTATAATTCTATCAACAAACCATACTTTCATGTTATGCACAGAACTCAATCACATAAATCTTAAAACACCCCACTACTTCCCTTATTATCTTTATTTAGCTTCTGCGAATATACATACACAACATCACGTCATCCTTTCCTAACGCACACCCAACCTAAAACAACACAATTGGAATTTGCCCTTTGATATCTTCTCCCATATTGTCAATTCCACAGCCTCCTTTTCACACTTGTCTTTTCTTCAAATATATATATATAAAAAAAATCGTCTTTGTTTATTTGTGTGTTATCTCATAGTAAGCATCACAAATATAGAAATACAATGTTTTTCTCTTTTGCCTTTTTCACAAATTACATGGTCATTTTTTCTAGTTTTTATCCCCATTAGGAGAATAACGAGTCAACTCATGCTAAATTAAGCATAGGTTATAGGTTGTTAAAGTATCATAGAATAACTCTAGGAATTGATGAATGAATTAATATAAATGAAAAAGCTATATAATCCTTTTAGGATTGTAAGTCTTTGTCTTTTAAATTGACTGCCAGTTATGAGACAAACAGTTGCAGTCGGACCTGTGGTTTGATTAGCCTTCTTTCAAAATTCTCAACCCAATTTTTATTTATTTTTATTATAAAAAATATAAAACATGTAAAATGTCAATTTTCACAAAAATAAAAATAAAACTTAAAAAATATCACATAACTCTCTTCGAAATAAATAGTAAGACGCTGCTTTCATGCCAATTTAAATATTTGAAGTGCAAACTTTGTTAGTGGTAATGAAGTTATCCGGTGGTGTACTGTTAAACCAGTAATTCATATATAAAAAATATGTAACAATTATATGAAACTTTTGATAAAAGCAATCATATCTCCGATATTTTTACTATTCATTCATTTAGTCATATAAGTTATGATTACTTTGGTTTTGGTGGAATACTTTAGTATGTAACTTCATTTAAAACATGGGAGAAAAATAAAACTTATAACCATGTATGTTTCTTTTCAGTTTTTTTTTTATTAAATGTACTCATTTAATTGTTTTGGCTATAATTTTTTTTCTACAAAAAATTGTGAGTTATATACTTAACTGGCAATAATATTATTAATTATGTTAGTATTGGTCTGACTGGTTTTGAGCGTTTCAAAAGAAAATATTGAATTAAATATATCATTAAAACTTAAAAGTTTATAGCTTTGATTTCATTTTTGTTTTTGAAAATTAGATATCAGACAGAAGAAGCTCGACAAATTCGAATTATCGAAGATAAACTCGATAAGTTCAGATTGTCAAATAGAAACTTGACAAACTCAATTTTCATTATATCATTATCATATTCCAATTTTAGTTGGTTATTAAAATATTAAATTTCCTCAAATGTTGTTTTAAGCAAAGATCCATGTTGATGTTTTTGTACAAAAGATTATATTTTACTCTTCTCGATCCTTCACCGTAGTTGGAAACTTGCAAAGCACCAGTTTCTGTTAATCACAAAGCCCTTAATAATTTGAAGTGTTGTAATTGACAGTTTAAGCGAAGCTTTTGGGCACCTAAAATTAAAGCCTTTTTATATTGTTGGTGTGAGTTTTAGTTTATCCTTTTGACAACATTTTTTTATAACATTTTAACAATATATACGTGTCATTCTATGATTGATTCATGTTGATCTTTATGATTATTATTATTGATTGTGAAGTAATTTTAGACCAATCACAAAATGACATGTAAATAATGTTAGAATGTTATAAAAAAATGTTGTCAAAGTATCATTATGCCTCTCCAATGCTTAAAGCTTTTACATTTAGCCAAGAGAGTAATTTGTACAAGTAAAAGGGACATTTGACATGAATAAGTATTTGATAGAGTGAAAAGGAAAATTGGTTTAGAAATTAAAACAAGTTGGTGATAGAATGGACCCTAAAACATTGTATTTTGCGTATAGATATTAGTATGGTGGGGCATGATGAGTTCTACCAACTGCTAAATTGTGGTACCAATGCTAAGAACAGTGCCACTAAACTCATTCACCCTGTTTCGATAATGACATACTCATTTTATCAATTCCTTAATAATGACATTAGGGACAATAAGTTTCTTAGGGTTCCTTCATTACACTATTACTCGTCATTTACATGTCTATTAGTTTGGTAAAAGGGAAAGAATCTGCTAAAACATTCAATGGTGCAAAATTCATCGCATTACGACCAAATAGGTTATTATGGTTTACATATTGTATTTTTTTTCTCATGATTCATGAAATTATATATGTACTCCAAATTTTGAAATATTTATTCTTAGTTTTTAGCAGGAGATTAAAATTTTCCAAATAAAAATAATAATTTAAGGACTAAAAAAATTGAAAATAAAAATACAAAAATGAAGATATTTTGGTTATTTGATACATAAGAAGGCATTCTCTCTCTCTCTCTCTCATGTTGGGAGAAAAGCATAACACATGAATGTGACATGTTTTTAAACTTTCATTATGTAATCAGATAAAGAGAAAAAAATTATGTAACAAGATTTTTTTTTTTATGTTTTTCTTGAGTTTTTCATTTTTTTTTCTTCCATCTTGTATGTTAAAGAATGGGCATTATTTTTTAAAATAGGACAACACAGGTAATTACATTTAAATTGGAAGGAAAAAATAAAACTGGTGAAAAAAATAGGAAAAATGAAGAGTTACTTTAAATTAATTAAAAAAAAAGTAAATGTAAGGTTAATAATAAAATTAGTACTGGTGAAAAAAAGTTAAGAGTGCATTTGACATGAAGGAAACTAAGAGTGAAAGTAAAAGAAAAAAAAACAATATAAAATGAGATAATATTTTCATATCACAGGAGAAATTATTTATTTGATTAAATAAAAAATGAAAAAAATAATACTTATATTACAAGTTGTAGAAATCATAATTGTTAATCTATGTCATCTTGATATAAGAAAAGGACTATCCAAATAACTGAACGAATCAAAATATTTTCAATTAAACTAATAGTATGTAACTAGTAACATTACACCTAAATAATGTTCAAACTGCAGTTGAAAAATACTTGAATCTTTTCTAACAGTTTGTACAAATAAAAATTTGTTAAAGATGATATAATTATATAAATAGATATACATTCTAAAGTAAAAAGTTATTATTCTTTTTCGTAAAATATAATAATAAAATTAATGTTTTTCTTTGAGTACCAACTTGAACAACGGCCAAATATCACTATAAAGTACCTTATTTTGAGATTGATATATATCATCGACATTGACACCAAAATAATTAAAATACAAAATGTTAGAATACTAATTTCTAGTGAAGTGGTTTTATAAGATTATTTTAACTTTATAAGAACAAGGCGGAATACAAAAATAAAAATTGAAATGTAACATAAACAATAACATTTTATTTCATTGGAAACATATACACAATTTTGAACTTCTCTGCCCTCCATCTTTCATAAAAGTTATTACAAGTTTAAGATCTAAACAATAGTGATTTTTTTTTCTATTTTCTTAAAGAAAAATGATGTTGCCCTTGATGATGAACAATTAAACAATGTTGAATGTTTTGGTGATATTAAAATGTGTTAGATGTGAAATGGAATGATAGTTGATGATGTGTTGTTTAGTACTGTCAAAGCTACGATAATATACAATAATATATGCCTAACAACTTCTACATGTGATTACTGATTTATCATATCACTTAATTGTTTTCCAAATAATAAATAAAAATATTTATAAAAAGCTTCAAACAGGAAGGTAACATCAAAATATATAACTATACATACTTATAAGTTTAAATTTCTTTTACTTTACTATTAAAGTTCAATACCGGTGGAACTTTAATAAAATAATCATTAAGAAAATATAAACATCAATCAGATCTAACTTTAATTTATATACGAATTTAACATTATTTTTTATTTAAAATATGAAGATTATAATTTTATGGGTCTTTATCCTTTTATAGTATTTTCTCATTTTTATTAAATATGATATTTATATTATTTTTAATCTCAACAATATTTTTCTTATGAATGAGTTCCTTTCATATTATTATATTTTTCTTTTAACCACGAATACTCTTTTTGGTATGGTAATTCATCTTAATGAATTCATTTACTTGAATTCTTTATAAAGAAAACTTTTTATACAAGGAGTAAAAGACTTCAATTATAGATGATATCTAATGTTTTATGGATTTTTCTTTTCTTTCTAACGTCAAAAGTCTGGTTAGATAATGTTATATTAGATTTTAAATAATATATATATATATATATATATATATATATATATATATATATATATAATCATATTTTTTTCATTTTAGTATCCATTTAATCTTATATATTATCGATAGGCGAACTTGATGCATCATAACTCAACTCACAAATCAAAAGTTTTTCGAGAATAATTTAATTCACATATAAAAACACATGAAATTCAATATTTATACGGTTCAAATATATTAAAATTGTGATCATCATGATTACTTTACTCTCCATCAATAATGTATCATACTTTCATCACATATGATTAAAAGCTTTAAACATGATTAAAAAAATATTAGCTTTCCTTGCCTTAATTGTGAGATTTTATCATAAAAAACTCTAGTACTTCTAAAAAATACCTTTACTCATACATGATGCAATATCTACGTATAGAAAATTCATATCAACGATTTGAAGATACTCTAAAAATCAACATCATCCATCTACTCATGTCTATTTTCTTTTATAAAATAGAAAACTAAAAGAATGATGTAAGAAAAGTATTATTTTGTAAATTTATTTTAGGAGTGGTATACGTTTGTTTTTTAAATTAAATTTTTTTCTTTACAAGTCGTGCCTAAAGTGACATGTATTTTCATAAAATCAACATCATCAATCTACTCATTCACCAATTAGATTAATTAAATCTTTTATTATGTGATAAAAATAAAAAAACTAATTTGCATATAAAGACAAAATAGCGTTATCGTAAGAGGGATTATTCATGGATAAGAGCAATCTTATGATATCCAAAACACAGCACTTAAAACAGAAAAAAAAAACATAAAAGATGCAGATAAAGTGAAAACTTTCATGATTCTAAAATTTAAAAATATTCACTATATAGAAAGAAAGGAAAAAGTACTAATTAGAGGTAGTATAAACCCATAAGTTAAAACTTTAATAAATTACTATATACATCTAATATAATAATAAAAATAACATTTATTAGGAACCAAATTTTACTAAACTGTTTTCTTCTTTATGGAAAAACTAATGTAAAACCTTTATCGGATACTGAAATTGAAACAAAAATCAATATAAAAACACTACAAAAGGAAGTATTTCAGAAATACAAAAATAAATGGCACAACAATTAATGATATAACTAAATGATACATAGTAAACTGTTTATTGTATTATTCAAATAATTAAGTGAACACAGACCTTTTTTCTCGGATAACATGTTAATCTTTTCCGAATCCGAATTGGATAAGAAGTATCTAAAGTAAGAAATTATAAAACTAATCTTCGGAGGAAATGGAATAATGTTTTTTAACTGAGAATTCAGTCATCAACAATGTTAATTTCCTTCATCAACTAATACAAAATATTCTTCAGATGAATTTTAAAACAATATAAAAGAATAGTTTTACTGTTGTATTAACCCTACATTAACGAGAAGAAGAAAAAGAAGAAAAATTACCCTTTGAACCATATCATCATCATCATCATTATCATCATTCATTGGACCAACCAAGCAAATTTACGAAAAAAACCCCAAAAGAGTCTCCAGCAGCAGCACCAAACAATTACTACCTACCATACATCTCTCTCTATATTGCTAGCCATTGCTCTCTTCCCTCAGTAACAACCAACTCTTTCATTTTTCATCAGATCAAACCATCACATTGCATTTCACTTTACTGCATCACCCATTATGTTCTCTTCTTTTCTCTCTCTCCCAAACACACAACACAAAAGTACAAAGCCACTCACCATTCTCTCACTTTCTTTCTCTCTCTCTCTTATCAGAATCCCATCCCTCTCTCTTCTGCATCTCTCCTACCCTTTCTCTTTTCTTCCCAAACCCACCAAAAAAGAATCAATTTTTTAATCACCCTGAGGAAAAAAAATCCCTTTTTTCCCCCTCAATCAACGCAACACGCTTAAATTACCACCCTTCTTCCTTCTCGCTTTCTCTCTCTCTCACACGCGCGCACTCCTCCTTCTAAAGGCTTTACCTTTCGCGGAATCGGAATCGGAATCGGTGATCTAGATGGGCATAATCAGAAGCATGAGATCGCGGTCGCATCGCGTCGTGCAGGAGCAAGAAGAGTGTGTTGGTGACAGCATGAGACAGAGTTGTTGGGCCAACATGCCCCAAGAGCTTCTCCGAGAGGTTCTCCTACGAATCGAGGCCTCCGAGGACACGTGGCCGCCGCGGAAGAGTGTTGTCGCCTGCGCCGGCGTTTGCCGCAGCTGGAGACAAATCACCAAAGACATTGTCAAAACACCCGAGCTTTCCTCAAAAATCACCTTCCCCATTTCTGTTAAACAGGTTTCTTCACCACCCTTTTCCTTTGCCTTCAATTTTCTGTGGGATTTCCTCAAAATTCATTTTTTACTTCATTCACTGCACAGAATTTGACACAATTAATTAATCAGAGATCATAGTCGTTGATAGCAATTTTTTTAAGATGGTTTTTTAACTGTTAACCATTTTTACATATCGGTTTTTATTTCCAGAGCGTATTTTAATTTTCAAACGTGTACTTTTGTTTTGGTTCCTGAAGTCAAGTGTGTCTTGATTCTGTTAACCAACATAGCGATAAATGGATATTGGAGTGTAATATGGCCAAAAATATTCTGGTGGTGCTTAATTGCCAGAAATTGTCTCTTTAGTGACAAGTTTTTTTTGCATTCAAATTGTTAATTTTTTTGACAGTTTTACTTAACAGAATTAGGTCACCGTTGAGGGCAGGAATAAAAAAAAATTAAGATGTGATTGGATGTCACAAGGATCAGATGAGTTTCATGTCTGTGATTGGAATAATTACTACAAAAGTTAATAAAAACATTGCAATAAAATGTTTGTGTACAAGTGCATGCATCACTGTTTACTAATATTCAGTTAAATATACACTCTCAAAAAAAGTATACTCATTTACTTTTCTATTAATTTTTTGTTGAGTTGAGAGGGTATTTTGTACTTTTTTGGTGATGGAATTATTTTATTGATTGGGTTTGGTATTATTCCATATCAGCATGATTGTTTGATTGAGTGCAACGAGGTTTTCTTGTGTTACCCATTGTTTGTTTTGTTTTGTTTCTTCCTAACGTTGGTTTTTGTGAAGAATTATGACGATATTCTTGGCTCGATGTTGTGATGAGTTGTGCTTCGATTGTTTTATGGTTGAAAAAAATAAAATAAAAATATTGATTCACCTCGCCTGTGTCGTGAAGGCAAGGGCGAAAGTATTTGTGAGCTGATGGGTAGAGTTGAACCAATGAACTCATTTTTGGGGTCTTTCACTTTCATTGTGTGACTCTATTGAATATTATTAACTTCGTTTGTTTGGAATATTAATAAGATGGTTGTGCATTTCTTCTTTCTCATCTTTTTGTATGACGTATACGAATATAATGCATGGATTAAAATATAATGAACCTCCTTGTTTGTATTAAAATCACTGTAATTTTTTAATGTCTTTTATCTGTCCTTTTAATTATCATGACATTTCATATTCTACTGCTTTTCTGTTCTTTTTCATAAAGTAATTAATGCCATTTTTTAAAATTTAAAGTAGAACTGTAATTTACCTCTGAATGTATGGATAATCTGACGTGTGTTGTTTCAACGTAATTAGTATCTTAAGTTTGAGTTCTAAGTATGCAATCCCGTTAAATATTTCGAGGGAGAATTTTGTTCTTCATAGTGGTTCTATATCCAACTATAGCAATGGTGAATTGATTTTGGACAGATTGTGTTTTATTGTGTGATTTCTAACAGTATCTACTGGGAAAAGGAAACGGCTAAATTCCTGCTTATTCTGTATAAATCCTTTTAATGTTCTTTTTATCCTTGTGGAAATTGGTGATTTTGGTTGGACCATTATATTTGTGGATATTTTTTGCATAACACTATATTCTCTTTTTGCGCCTCCATCACTAGGATTGAATGTTCAATATCACTACTTAGAAGGCTGGGACCACTATATAGTGATGTCACTATTTTAATTATTATGAAGTTTACATGGGCGTTTACTCACTAATACCTTCCACAACATTTTGGAGGACCACTTTAAGTGGCATCTGGGTATTGTCACTGTTACTATTGGCATGGCATCCTTAGTGCATCTTCATCGTTTTTGTTGTGCTGCCCAGTTGTTCCAATTTATCTGGTATTTATTATGTTTTGATTGGGTTGTGGTCCTTGTTATACAATATGCTGGCCAAAAAGGTTAAAGTAGAGGTCAAGCTTTTGGGTTCAGTGGGTACCAAGGTGCCCTTTGCTGTGGAATGCTCTGATTTTTTTTTTCTTTTATATTTCCCTGCTCACTATGGTATCGCACTAAAGATTCCCTTGTACACTGCAAAAGCATGATGCTTGAATGTGACTATTGTGCTTGTCTTTTATTACTTAGAGTACTTCATTGTACTGTTTTCCTTCTCTTGTCTTTGACATGTTTTCATCTATGAGTAATATTGGCAGCCTGGCCCAAGGGAGAATCTCCTCCGGTGCTTTATAAAGCGCAACCGGTCAACCCAAACATACTATTTGTTTCTCAGTTTAACCAATAGTGAGTATATAATAAAACTTGTGGTTGAATCTTCTTGTAAACGCTTTAGTTTCTTTGTTTATCCACCATTCTTTAGCTTCTAATCCTAAGAGAGTGTGTTCTTCAACTCAGCACTAGCCGAAGATGGGAAGTTCCTTCTGGCTGCACGCAAGTGCAGACGTCCGACATGCACAGACTATATCATCTCTCTTGATGCAGATGATATGTCAAAGGGAAGCAACTCCTATGTTGGGAAACTAAGGTGTGATGTAATTGGGTACTGTGGCCATTGTTTGTTGTTTTGTTTATTAGTGCATTGACTCACCTTTTTCTTTCCCTTTTTAACCAGATCAAATTTTCTTGGAACAAAGTTCACAATCTATGACAGCCAGCCACCTCACTCAGGGGCAAGGATTATGAAAAGTCGCTCCACTAGGCTGGTGAATCTAAAACAAGTTTCGCCGAAGGTCCCTACAGGCAATTATCCAGTGGCTCACATCTCATATGAATTGAATGTGCTAGGCTCCCGGTAAGCTTTACATTTTTGAATTGTAAGTAGATCTTCATGCATGAAATTAACTATTGTTCATACTTTGGTGGACATTGATGCTTTGACTGAGTAGGCAAAATGTTTGCTGAAAATATGTTAGATAACTTTTCACCCTCTTTATATTCTGACCATGTGATACTTACAATGTGTATACCCTAAGCAGGGGGCCTAGGAGAATGCATTGTGTTATGGATTCCATTCCTGCCACTGCAATTGAAGCTGGAGGAGTAGCTCCTACACAGACCGAGTTTTCTCTTAACAACATAGATATGTTTCCTTCATTCCCTTTTTTCCGATCAAAATCAAATCGTGTAGAAAACACCATGTCTGGACCCCTGGTTGATCAGAAGGATGGGATGCTCGTGTTAAAAAACAAGTCTCCTAGGTGGCATGAGCAGCTCCAGTGTTGGTGCTTAAACTTTCATGGCCGGGTGACAATTGCCTCGGTTAAAAACTTTCAGCTAGTAGCTTCTGCAGAAAATGGACCTGCTGGACCAGAGCATGATAAGATTATCCTCCAATTTGGAAAAGTTGGGAAGGATTTGTTTACAATGGATTACCGATACCCTATTTCGGCCTTTCAGGCCTTTGCGATGTGCCTCAGCAGCTTTGATACCAAGATTGCTTGTGAATGACATGTTTAAACAGGTATATTCATTTCAAAGTTCAATATTCTAAAATTTGACTCTAGTCGGGGAAAAAGCATTGATCAATAAAAAGCTCATAATAGAATCCAGTAGATGTTTACGGTAGTTCCATTGGTAGATCACTGGAATGACATTTTGGTTTACTTTGATACCCTATTATTTAATTTTGGTCCAAGTAAAATGAGTTGCCAAAATCCCATGATAAGAAATCAGGTAATTGTAAATGTTCAACGAAAAATACAATACTGGCATCACATTAGGAACTTAAAAACTTGCATTTCATTCAATACTATATTTTAATCCTTGGCACGTTTTGCCTGTAAGTTTTCTGGATATAGTGTATACAATGTTCCTATCATCTGATAATGATTACCACATTCATATGACCATCCTTCTAAAATTGGTTACCCTCATTGTGTATGCCTCTATTAAAGGATGAGAGGATAACTACGTGAAAACCTTACTAGCTATTCTCTCTATCTAGCATATTGACAGTTATATCAACTCCATTTTTCCATTTTTTTGCATCTTCAGTTTGCCTATTGACCATGCTTGATTTTTGTTTATGCCAGCTTCAATCCAGATTATATAGCTATCTCTCTTACTTCTGGGAGACGGATGGTTTGAAAGCACTTGTTGGGAAGCAGAAAGATGAAAAATGTTTGGGGTTGGAAGGGTGTCGAACTGAATTTTAAAGGTCCATTCAGTTTCTGGGATCACAATTCACCAGCTCTTGGGAAGATACCATGAACTTGGAATATTATTTGAAAATCCTCCATCCTCACCCCCACAAGACAACACAAAAAGAGAAAAAGGAAAAAAAAAATGCTTTTCTTCTGCCTCCGTGTACATAAATGATATTTTTCATTTATTTTTCTTTTTCAACAACTTTCTGGTTGTTTGTGGTAATATAGCTGTGGTTTTTAAAACATGTCCCCCACAAGACATGTTTTTGTTTATGGGACTACTATCTAGCTTTCAACTTATCCTTTCATGAGAACATGTTGTGTTAGTTAGACTACTTGCATGAAAACAAGTGCCAGCAACTTGGTACGTGCAACTCCTTTCCTTCCGTAATCCACTCTGAACGTGTTCTTTCCAAAACAGTAGTAATGCAATGTTGTAATAGTATTTACAAATTAAAACCGCCATATGCTAAATACAAATTTTACATACTCTTTGTGGAAGTCTTGCTTAAAAGCTATAGTATTTTACATACACGGATTGGTAGAGAACTTACTTTTGGAAATATTTGAGCCAAATAATTACTATAAGTAAAAGTTGTGTTGTGATATGTACTTATATTTTTCTTTTGATATAGGTTTCTGTATATTATTACACTGTAAACCTTTTTCCAAGAAAAGGCATAGTCCACATGCAGTGAAATTAATTGAATTTCAGACTAGTAATTTATTCTCTGATAACTTTTGTTGCGATGAATGGTACTTGATACTTTGAATTGGTGTTGTTCAATGTTATCGAACAGAACACCTTGAAAGGAAAAGTAGTATTGGGAAACATAAGTACAAAGTTGTCATAAAAAAAGTATAGAAGAGTGTAAGTGTTTTGGATTGAAGATAAGTGCATTACTATTTCTAAACGTGAAACAAAAGTTATCTTCAAACGATGTGCGTGAGTCAATTTTAGCATATTGAGGTAAACTAGTTTGATTCGTTGTACTGTAATATGATTGAGCAGATAAAATCTTAAATATAAGTTTCTCTGTACCAGGGAAAGTATTCTTATGAATGGTATTGGAATAAGAATCTATGAGCACATTTTTTTCTATGAACTGATCTGTAAAAAAATCACATTTTCAAAATTTTTAATTTTAAAACATAAAATAATTTTAGTTTACGGAAAAAAAAAATTCTTATAAGTTTTGTTAAAGTTGCACGAAGTTCACAAGGAACCTATCATCATGTGACACGTGTCCACAATTATAAAAGCTGACTCTTCTCTGTCAATTTTTTGAAGTATATTAATGTATGATCTTTCAGAAAACCTAGTCCAACAACATTTGGAAAGAAATTTCATCCTCACTTATTTATACAATATATTAATATTAACATTAGACTATAACTAAATGACAGAATCGAAAGTATACAGCTATAATCACACTATACTCTATAATATATATAATTTTAAAAAGATATATATATATATATATATATATATATATATATATATATCATATTAGACAAAATATTAATGGCTGCAGAAAGTATACTCTAAAAGATTTATTAAGGGAGACAAGATTATTTCTTACATCTAACATAAATAATTTATTTTCATAAAATGGGATAGATGTAAATGATTTGTGAGTTATATTTGCTGATAAACTGTTGAAAAAATAGGACCTTTGTGTCAAAGTCGCGGATTATGAGAAAATGTATTTTAAATGAAATTTTAATATTGTATCTTCGTGCTCATATGACATGTTTAAAATGTTTTGCTTTAAGTGTTGAATAAAGTTTTACATCTTTGACACAAAATGACTTTTTGAAGAAGTTAGAAAGTAAGAAATTTATCATGTAAGTTATATTTTTATTTCAAATAAAAAATAGCCTATTTCATATTTATATTTGGTTTTCCATTTTTGCATTAAAAAAATTTCTGTTAGAGATTTATATTTATCATTTGATGAATCTACAGAATATTTTTTTTATAATGATTAATAAAGGGATGAAAGGTGTTAAAGTGGAGGTTTTATAATTCATTCGTATTAATGCTTAAAATATATCTTCCATTAATTTTCCACGTTTAAAACGTTATTTTTCTTTTGATCTTAAACAACATTACTTAAGAGGCGCTCCAATTAAAATTTGTTTAGCTTTGAGAAAACACACTAAGCAACTTTATTAATAACTGAAGATATTTGATATCTTTCACAATTATGTACAATATTATGTACAATTATAATAAAGTGATATCTTGAAAGGAGATGTTTAGAACAAAAGCTTATGGAGCTATGTAACATTGACCATAAATGTGCCCAAGAGCACAAATGAGAGAAGGATAGCTGCCACCCACCTTAGCTAAATTATAAGGAATAACCATATAAGGTCTGTGTTTGAGGATAAACCAGGAAAAGGGATCCTCATAATTGTGCTTACAAAATAAACATTCCTCAATCTCATCCCATGCACTGTGATGCAAGGGCATAACTGATTGTTATATACATCATTATCATACATTACAAATTTACAACCCTTAGGCTGTTTGCATGCTCACACTTGATTCATGGCTCAAAACCGTGGATTCGGCACCTTCCTCCTCCTCGGTAGGAAGATCATCGGAGTGCAATTCCGGTTGCTTAAGGCTCCGGACAAACTCGGTGAACAAAGGAAAGTGTTCTGGAGAAAAGAAAGATGCTCCCATTCGCTGATATGTGAACAAGTCCAATACTTCATCTCCAGATAGATTCTTCTTAATTTGTTCAAACCCCCCCGGGACACCAGACTCGGAAGAATTTTGACCCGAAACCTTCACCTCATGCTTTCTGCAAGCTGTCATAATTTGAGAAAGTAGCAATTCAGGGCTAGAGTGGTTTTCCTTAGGTTGTTTTGCATCAGAAAGGTCCATGCCGGGTAATATCATTTTGCATGAGTTCTTAGCAAACATCTGTGCAACTGTTTCATAGCCATCATTGTTAGCTGTGTTGTAGAACCCTGCGGTTAGCTCTGAAGGATGAGATCGAGTTCCGTACCAAGAGTGCATAAGTGGGATTTTTCCATATATTGTCACTCCAGAGTCACCAAAAGTAGAAGATGCCATTGATAGGAGGCAGTCTCCATGAGCTATGAGCTGATTGGAATACCATGAGAGGAAAAAGACCCCATATGAGGACTCCCAAGAAGCCCCATCATTAAAGAAGCCAGTCGAGTATGGTGACTGATCATAGGTAGGTGCATCATGTGGACCACCAAGCCCCCACAAAGGATTTCCAGATGCTTCAGCATGTTGCTTGAGAAAGCTAAGCATGTTTTGGTCATAACACTGGAATTCCCCAGCTCCTTGAGTTTTACTAGGTAGCTGATGATGAGAGGGGTAACGTAACTCACCATCTGGTCCTAAACCCATGGAAATGCTCTGCAATATGGCAACAGATGAGGAAATTGTCAGTCATGTATAATCTGAAAGAGCATATTACAATTGGAATACATCTGGTACTGGAATGCAAAATATTTACCGTAATCGTAGAGCCCATGAAGGGAGAGAATGAAGACTTGAAGCTCTCACAGAAAGCCTGGTACACTTGGACTGGTGTCTTTCCATCAAGAACAGGAAGATCATCAACTGCCAAGGACAGGCATTCTTTATAATGCTGTCCTGACTTGTCTGTGAAGAAAATATTGGGTTCAGATTCACCAATCTGGGATACCCATTTAGGTAGGGGGATATTTGGCTTCTTAGACCCATGAAAGCAAAGAGACACATGGAGATTGAGACCCACTTTCTGGACCATCTCAGCAATAGCAAGATAGCCTGACCAGTCATATTCTCCCATGGTTTCTTTCTCCACAATTCCCCACCATATAGGGAGCTCAACACCTTCAACTCCTAATAGCTTCAAAGCTTTTAGGCCAGCTGCAATGGCTCTCGCATGGTTTATTGAATTGCAATCATAAGAAACTGCATCTAGGGGCAGCCCCACAAATAATCTAACACCATCCACCTGCAACATATTATTTTAAGCATGTCAGTTACTTTCTAATGCCTCCAGGTTGACATTATATAACAAACCTAAGTGTACTTTTCTACCTAACATGTGTTATTACTGCAGAAGAATCGTATGAAAGTAGAAGAATAAATTGTTACCAAGACAGATGCAGTACCTAGCACTGACATCTAGAAATTAGTAAATCTCTAGCATGTAAATCCCCTTCAGATACTAACCAAAGGAAAAAAAAAAAACCATAGCTCCTTTAACAGTGATGATTAGGTTATGCATTATCAAGGAAATTTCCCAGGAGAATGTCAAGAATCAAGATTTATTTTTTCAAAAATACCACATCCACGACAAAAAGGGAAAACCGCACAAATTCACCAGATGACAAATTCAATGATTGACTTCATTATTTACTCCAACTATGCAACTGATCAAAAATAATTCAGAAATCCTTGATATTTCATGTAATTTCAAATTACCAAACGAAAAGTTGAAGTCAAACTAAATTATTAATTAATTAATTAATTAAATAATAAACCGTTTCTTCAGAACCAAACACAATAAAATTCCCAATTTCCCCAGTCTCTCTTCAACCATACACAACGTGAAAAACAAAACACAAAAACTCACCGTTTTGGAACTTGTTCCAGGCCCAGAACGCTTATTCTCCTCTCTAACGGGTTCAGTTCGATGAGCCCTCAAAGTGAAGCTTATCCCAGCCTTCTTCCACCGATTATTCTGACCAAAACTAACTCTATCGTTCACGACCCTGAAATTCTTCAAATTACAAAGGCCCACTTCCCTAGATGCCAAATCGGAGGCTCCCAGCTTCGCTTGAGAGCTTCCAATCACCGAAACCTCCATAGCCAACAACAACAAGAAAGGAAAACGCAATAATCACACCAAAATACTCGCTCAACAAACAATCGAAAATCTAGTCTTTTCAGGATATCCGCTTAATGTTTCCAACAGAAATCGCGGAGAAAAAAATGGGATTCAAGGAAAGAAGAGATAATGAATATTGCAAAAGTAGCTGAGGACAAGATGCATATATAAGGATGTGGAAGCTAAAACGCGCTTTTTCTTTTTCCTTTTTCTTTTGCAACCATTATTAAACTAAAGAAAAACAAAACTTGCAAAACAGCTGCCACGTGTCCACGTGATAGGAGACCAAAGTAGAGCCGCATAATACTATTGTTGATTTTTATATATAAAATAGAAATAAAAAATAACAAAATATTAAGGACCCCAAATAATAATCATCATCATCATCATTTTAAAACAGCATAAATCAATTTCATAAGCATAAAATAGCTTACATACGAGTTAATTTATAAAAAGTTAGTTTT